GGGAGCTGACAGTTCGATGCAACACTGGCATGCCTTTACAAGAAGCAGCGGGCACTCAGGCCACTTGGAACGCTGGCAAAGCTGCAACAAAGGCCAATAGGACGAGGACTTTCTACTTTGACCTCCACCACAGTTCATCTGCCAAGTCCAAACGCATTCATCGAAGATGGTCTTAGAGGGTCATGAATTGGGTGAGGTTCGACTCGGTTTCGACACTGGTTCTTTTTTTTGATTTTTATGGTCTTGCTGGCCCGCCGGTCTTCTGGGCATCGCTGACTAGGGGCTTCCTTGAGCTGCCAAACTGGCAGGCTCACTGATTCTGATGCAAATCAGTGAGCCTGCCCATTTCCATATTCCCTTCCTTTGTTGCCAATAGGATCAAACAGGCAACGGATTCGGCACTGTCCTGCGCGAGTCACGCCGGTCAGGTGGCAAGAAGAGATTGATGAGAAGCAAAGTGATGATGAAGCAGTCACGCCTGAGGATTGGGTGGGAGTGGGTGACGATATGGTGAGATATCCATGGAATCAAGATAATTAATTATATATGTACCATGGCCTCCAACCGATCTTCAGTAATGTAGACTCTTGATTCTCGATTGATTTTTACACACACACACACATATATATATATAATATATATATATATTTACGATGAAATTTACTTACACACATATATATATATATATAACTCCCATTTGGATTGAAAGACATCTACCCCCACTGTAACTGTATCTTCTGGAAGTCGTTTGATTCTTTTAACTGGCTGGTGTTGTTTGGCATTGCAGTATAAACTGCCATTTGGGTTTGCAGCTCTTTTGCGTATTGCTGTGTGAGTCATGTTTCTTTCTGTGTTTGTTGCTTTTCGTGGCTTTGTCAGATTGCTGTTCACTTAGCACAGCCTTGGAGTCGACCAGAGTCGCGCCATGGGATTTTTGAAGGGCGGGTGGATGGTCATGTGCGAGGGCGCCAGCCACCCGGGCCTTCATGGGGCTCGTGTGTCCCGTCGTAGTCGTACCATCGTACGTCGGCGCCACGTTGCGTGGCGTCGCCTTGGCCCAGGAGATGGAGCAATGGCGTTTGCAGGAGGAGAAGGACGCTCAGCTCCGTCGAGAGGCCGAGAAGGCGGCCTCGGAACAGGCTCGCCAGGCGAGGCATGTGGGGCGCAGCAAGTGTTTTTCTGGTTGGCGGGGCTGGGCTGGACGGTGGCGGGCATGGAATCCTCGCGAGTCTTGGTTTTGGAGTCTGGATGAGAGGCTGCGATGCTTGGAATGACATCCACGTCCAATCACCCTCTTCACTTCCAGAATTCGGGGTGGTGAAGTCTTGCTATTCCCGTGTGCCACCGGCCGAAAGCTCCAAGCAAACTCTCGTATCGTTCGGATCCAGCTATTTAGACGTAAAGCCCAGTAGTAGTCAGCTCTTTAAAATACAAATCCCAAGCCGAAGGACATATACAATTGGCACCACTTGGAGGTCCTTACGTTGTACTGTTATTTTATGTGGCAATACCCACTTCTTAGCAATCTCTAGCTAGCATGGTTTCAATCCGTGATTCCTCAGCTTTGCCCTGATTTTGGATGGTGGGATTTGTGCCCTGGAGGAGAAGAGGCATACAGATAGGGATAGAGACAGAGAGAGAGAGAGAGAGGGAGAGAGAGCAAGGAAGAAAGAGAGATAAATCACTTGGCCCGATCCACTCCACTCAAACTCTCAGGCAAGTCATAGGCAGCTGATGGTAGCTGGCTTATGGTTACTCAAACAACATGATCAATTCGTCCAACCAGCGCTGCACGCGCTACGATGAAGCCTTCAGAGGCTGAGGAAGAGGCGAAGGAGAAGGAGATGTGGCAGGTGGCCGGTGAATACCACACCCCTGGCAAACCCATGGATTGCTATGGATTGGCCCCCCCACTAATCGTCCCTGTTATTCGGGGTGCATGGCCGGATTTGTGTCTAGGAAGCTTGTCTAGTCTAGGTTGGGAATGGAAACTCCGTTGGTGTGGGGCACACTATGACACGTTTTGGTTCTTCTTCAAGTGGCTTCCAGGTGGGTTCCACGTGTTTCTTTAGACTTCCAAACGTGATGGAAGGACGGCACCGCGCGACACCAAACCCAAAAAAGACATGGAATTATTTCATGTTTGCCGTGCCGTGGTCCGTTGGAAACGACGAATCACTTGAAATCATTTGACTGAATTTGGACTTGGACTCGTTTCGACGGCGGAACTGGTCCCAAAACGCAGGAGCGAAGCCGAAGCCGAAGCCGATCACCCTCGCTCTCGGATCTGGTGCGGATCGTGTTGGGCAGGGATGGTCGTTTTGGGCTGGGTCGGGGTGTTTCTAAGGGCAAGCAATAACATAAGCAAAAACAATCAATAACATAAAGTATTCCTAGCAGTATTTCTATTACTTTCTATGTGCTGTATTTCTATAACAGTTGTTTCTGTGGCTTTGCATGCATACCACACATACAATACAATACAGTATACATACCGTACATACCATACATAGATGACATACATGCATACATGCATACATACATACATGCACACATGCAGACAGACACACACACACATACATTCACACATACATGCATACACACAGACACATATGCGCCCATACATACAGACATAGATCTAGGGAGACCCTATGGCCCTTGGACACTTATTTGCACTTGTTGCTGTTTGTTTAATATATTTAATGACCATTCTTTGGCCATCATGTTCACCTGCGCGGTTCCCCTCGGAAGCACTGGAACATGCACAAACACGTGCCAGTGTTTTGGAGTGTTCTGCCCATCGAACAATAAAGATAAACAGTGCTAAAACTTTATACTACCTGGGTTTGGGCTAATTGGAGCCTGCCTTGTGGGCCTTGTGCTTGTCACCGATGGCAACCGGAAGAATCATATATTATATATATATATGTGTGTGTGGTCCTAGTCCGTCAACAAGCTTGGAGATTGAATGACAACACAATTGGAATTTACATAATAAATTTAGAAACATCTTCAATCTCGGTGGCTGCCTGGCTGAGTTGGGGAATTCTTGAGTTTTACGCTCAAAGTCTTGAAACCCTATGGCTGAGTTGAGGAAAACCTGAGTTTGGAGAGTTATCTAATTCAAAATGCACTCAACCAGGAATTCTCCCAACATCTCCCAACTGAGCCACTGAGTTCGGAGAGTCCTTCAAGCTAAATTCTCCAAACTCAGGATGTTTGAAGAGTCAGTCACTGTGTGTTTGGGGGGGCCCTCCAAGCTTCAAGAGAAGGATTGATAGATAAAACTTTGCCAACACATTGTTAGTGTCACTGGCGATAAGTTTTCGATAATTCTCCAAACTCGGGATTTCCCAAAATTCAGTCACTGCGTTTGGAGATGTTTCCGAACTCAGGCCTCGGGTTTGGAGAATTTTCCTAACTAAAAAAAACATAAGAAAGACAGGGAACCTTCAGCAACTTTGGGTTCTGAAAGTGACAATATGTTGATATTGTGATCACACATATGACGTGTCTCGACACCGTGTTTTGGTGCAAGTGGAGAGGCCATGACAGGCCAACTGTGGAAGTTGAACCTTTCCTCAGCATGAATTGGCCAGTCTCTAGATGGGTCCTGCGGATTTCGACGGGGGCGGGTTCAGAGTGGTGGGGCGATTCTGAAGCGGGCGCTGCGGCAGTGTGGAGATGTTCAATGACCTGGACCTCAAAGAGCCCAATGTAAATCCAGCAGTATAGTGTAGGGAAGTGTAGGGTAGATCACGTATCGGACACATCCATCCAGCCCGCTGGTCCTTTGCCATGCAAGGAGTGAACCTGAGACTGGACATGGCCACATGAAAGCAAAGACCTACAGATGTTAGAATGTTTGGACATCTCCCTATCTTCGCTCCGAGATCCTGATGCCCCCCTCATGGACAGTCACACGGTCACACCTATTACAAAGCGGTTGAAAGATGAAAGAGATATGAGTGAGTGCAGCCCATCAGTGTTTCTCGCCCATCGCTCGTTGGCACCCCTGTCACGACGGCTCGGGCGCCTTCAGGAAGCGACTCTGCGGGAGGAAGGCGAGGTGCAGAGTCGGACAGGTTCGGCATCCGACGGAGGTAGGTCGTGACGGATCTGGCAAACTGGCCACTGCACCGGTCTTTTTGGGATTTGACACGATCTGGCACTCTTCTTGATGTGCAACTGCGAAAGAATGACCCTCTGAACATTGACATGTGATGGAGTAATTAGGTCATCATCAACCGATGTTTTTTTTGCATGGGACTCCATGGATTGGACTATCACTCTGGTTGATCGACTGCGCTTGGGAGTAACAGTAGTTCAAGTGTTGCAAGCCCTTGCAAACCCAACAGCAGTGACATCAGCTGGATTCATAAGGATTTGGAACATCGAGGAATCTAGGATCCTGCGTGACCATGTATATAACCAGAGAGTGGCTAAATGCTCTCAATGAAGCGACACCGCGCTTTCCACTGAGACCTCCAAACATGCGGTGCCGAGACCCAAAAACAACTCGGTGATGGATCTATTGAATATATTGGTTGCTTTGCCATCTGCAGACTCAAGTCTACTTTGACAGTCAGCTGTTAGACATTCATCAGGACATGAATCAATGCAGCCATTCTAAAACAAAAGTTGACCACATCCAATACCTAGAATCATGATCAGGACCCCCTTAAGAGGGCTTCCATTGATCATCGCCTTAGAGCTTGAGGGGTGTCCCCCCAAAAAATAACCCCGACCGTGGGTCCTGGTATGAATCATTGTGCTCAACCTTGAAGACTTGCCATGTGTAACTTGAGTGGTGCATGATACCAAATGTCAGCCGCTCGGAGGTCCAATTCGGGCGCCCGAAGAAGGCGGACATGAAGGTACTCGTATATACATAACTATATAATCGTCCGCGAAGGGGGCTCAAGCTTTTCTATTTGTTATTCCCAACGGTAAGCCCAAAGGAAAAGAACCTCACAGAAGGCATCAGAAGGATTCAGAAGGTGTTTGCCAAGATCCGAACTGTTTTCTTCCAGTGCCAAAGCAGCGCTGCTTTGGCGCCATGAGGGCCAGCGCTTTCGGGGCGATTCTTTGGGCCTCCTTGAGACTTGCTTGGGGCCATGACAGCTGCTGTGCCAAGGCAGCGGCACTAGGTGGGCGAGTGGAAGCAGCAAAGGTGATGGTGCCAGACATGAACGCTCAGAAGCTCTTCTTGATGAAGGTGAGATGATGGATGGTTTGATGCGAGGTTTGGATTGTCCAACTCCCAGTTTGTTTGTTTTTCGTGTTTTTTTTTGTTTTCCGGGGCTGAAGGTCATCAGTAGTATTGCAGCTTGTGGGTGGGCAGGGAGGTTTGGCAATGTTTGGCACCTGCAGTTCGACCTTGTCAAGGGTCGAGGGAGCATCGGTGTCCCCCCCTTCTGGTTGCGGGTGCTCGACTCGAGATGGGTTCAGGTCCCTGGATGTCAGCGACTGATTCCAATTGAATGGTAAGACCCCCTAGGACATGGAGATTCTTGTTTTGGGCCCGTGGCTGATATTCCACCCAAAATTGTTCCTTTGCAATTGGGCTGGGGGGTGGGGTGGTTTCGTTCGTGTGAGTACTGTAATTAGTAATTATAGATGATGTGACCGGGAGGAGATCCTGGTGGGATTGGATTGGGGGTGAGTGAGGGTGAAATCCCCCGCAGTGGTAACGCGGTGGTCTACAGTATCGACCTGGATCGGACTCGCATGGTGAGACTGCATTGCGTAAGAGCGACATGTGAACTATGGTTCAACCAACATCGCAGAGAGGGCAAAAACAGGAAACCAAACGGACACTCTTTTAGTTGCTTTGAAGCATGCAAGCTACTAACATGTCTTTGACCTGTATATTTCTGACGCACACTTATGAAGTACATACAGTAGTTGTGGTGGTCAAAACTTTGGCTTAGCCTTTCCCCATAATTTTGGCTGTGTCCTATGGGCTTGGCACCACCCTGGTGTCACCTTGAAAAACAAAGCTTCCAACACGTGAGCAAATCGTCAGACCTTGCCACTGCGTATACAATAATAAGAACAACAATGCTAATAGTTATATAACACCTTTTGATATCACACCCTACCTCGTTTGCTATGAGGTTTGTAGGTGAGCAACCAGGTCGAAGGCACAGTCTTTCGTCCACCTAGGAAGCCTGACGCTTGGGATGAAGATGAGGATGGTCCTTGGGAACGGCCCCTGGTGCCGAAAGTGCAGTCCCTTTCGGCACATGTGCTGTGGATTTGGGTGGATGAGCTCTGGAACAACCTAGAGGATGCTCCTTGGCGTGTGTGCCATGGTTTTTGGAAAAAAGTGCCATGGGGCTTGGACGAGGAGTGGTTCCGCTCATGGTTGGTGCAGAACTCCTAGTCTTCGTTCTTCGTCAGTAAACGTACTTTAAAAATTAAGAAGTCAGAGCAGGTTTTCTTCCCGTGAAAGACCGGGGCTGAGAACAGCACTGTGAACTCTGACTCGCGAATTCAGACGGGGAAGTGCTGCAGAGAAGTCGAACGTATGTCCTGAGGGATCCTGAGGATTCGTCCCGCGTGCCTTCCATTACTTCATTCCTCTCGCCGGGCCTTTTCGCAGGCCGAACCAACACAACATGCCACCATTTCATTGCATGTTCATGACGTATCGTTCTAGGCTCAGAGAAGAGGTGCAAAACGGGTGATGGTAGGTCTTGTTCAGAATGTTCAGCTCGAACTGGTCGAGCTTGGGCAAAAAGGCAGTGTTTGGTCAGCACAAAGCACATGTGCAGAGTTGAAGGCCCAAAGCAATCACCGGAAACGGAGATGAATCCAGAATTGATGGAGTCTTTCTGGGCGGGCTTTGGACAATTCAATTGAATCATTGAGTCTCCAAAGGTTGAACTAGCTTGTGATCCACAAACCTCCTGAGGCCAGCCCTTGGCTGCTCCTGGGCCTTCTTTGCAGTGGCACCCTGAAGTCTTTGTTTTCTGATGACCTGCTCCAGCGATTTCTGCCAAGCGGACCGTTCGGGCCAACGGTCACAGGCTGTGGGGCCTGAAACGTGGGAAGGGGTTGCAAACAGGTGTTTCAAAGATGTTTTGAGATGTCTTCAGCCTTTTGGGGATTGTCAGGAGGATGGATGGCTCACCCGACTGCTTTTTTGGGCGACATTTTCCTGCACAGTCGGTATGGCTGAGCTGGAATTAGACGCCAACTTGGAACCTCTAGTGAAACTTAACGTGTGCAGTCCGGTAGCAAGTTTCATGGATCGTGTCACTGGCACTCATTTTTCCTTCTTGGCCCTCGGCAATCTATGGCTCTGCATGCAGCAAGTGGCAAATAGTCGCAACTTTGGGGATACTTGTGTTGACCAAGGTGGATGAATGCTGATCAGTGTTGATGGATTGCAAGTAACATGGGGCTAAGTGCCTGGGGCTGGGGCGGTGGAAACATGTTTCGATCAATGTTTCTGGAACCCAACTAGACTTCGCAGCCTTCGCAGCCTTGCTGTTCAGTGGCACTCTTCTCAGGTGCTCTTGTGGGGCTGTTCAGCCCGTTTTGCAGCTGTTCTTCTCTCCCGATGTCTCTCACACTCCTTCGCACTGGTGCCCCCTGCTCTGCAGTGGTTGCCTTCATAGCAGCCCGGCAGTCGGGCTGGGACTAGGTGACAGCGGGCACCGAGAAATAGTTGGGGTGTCCGTGCTGGGCGTACTGGCCTACAGGACGAGTTGCATTCAAAAAGGAGAAGAGCTCGAGTCCTCTAATGTCCGTAAGTATCCGTAAGTCGTGGGTTTGGCTCCAGGAATCAATATATACTTTCATAGACATACCCACAGGTGTGGTGTAGCTGATGAAATGATCATTGTTCCTCCGATGCCTTTTCCGAGATACCCTTTTTGGGAGCCATGGGCCATACCCCTACAAACCATTGGCAATGATGCGGCTTGGGGTCACAATTTGCACTCATCCAGGGGCCGAAGCTTCGACATGCGGGGGATGTGGGTTTGGTTTCTTTTTACACACCTCAACAGGTTGCATTCCCTTCTTGTCATTGTACGCAGCTGAGCACGAAAACCCAGTATTTTGTTTGCATTTGGTGACTAATCTCAGAATTTATCAGGCTCTCAGTCAGGTCTCCTCCCAAGCAGCTGGACTCGACTCCCTGCTCTTCACCATGGGCGTCTTGGGCCTTCGTGTGGCTCTCCTGCGCTGTGGCGCTGCGCTGCTTCTGGGCATCGCAGCGGGCTCCGTGGTGGACGGAGGTGGACGTGACCCGGAGAAGAAGAATGGGAGGAGGAACGGTCATTGGAAAACACTGCGTGCTTGTTCCTATAGTAGCCATGGCCTCCACCTTATAGCGATGGCCTCCACCTGGTAGCGATGGCCTCCACCTAATGGCGATGGCCTCCACCTAGTAGCCATGGCCTCCACCTAGTAGCCATGGCCTCTACCTGGTAGCGATGGCCTCCACCTGGTAGCGATGGCCTCCACCTAATGGAGATAGCCTCCACCTAGTAGCGATGGCCTCCACCTAGTAGCGATGGCCTCCACCACCTAGTAGCCATGGCCTCCACCTAGTAGCCATGGCCTCCACCTTATAGCGATGGCCTCCACCTGGTAGCGATGGCCTCCACCTAATGGCGATGGCCTCCACCTAGTAGCCATGGCCTCCACCTGGTAGCGATGGCCTCCACCTGGTAGCGATGGCCTCCACCTAATGGCCATGGCCTCCACCTAACAGCGATGGCCTCCACCTAGTAGCGATGGCCTCCACCTAATGGCGATGGCCTCCACCTAACAGCGATGGCCTCCACCTAGTAGTGATGGCCTCCAACCTAATGCGATGGCCTCCACCTAGTAGCCATGGCCTCCACCTTATAGCGATGGCCTCCACCTGGTAGCGATGGCCTCCACCTAATGGCGATGGCCTCCACCTAGTAGCCATGGCCTCCACCTTATAGCGATGGCGGCGATGGCCTCCACCTGGTAGCGATGGCCTCCACCTAATGGCGATGGCCTCCACCTAACAGCGATGGCCTCCACCTAACAGCGATGGCCTCCACCTAGTAGCGATGGCCTCCACCTA